TTGCCATTTAGCCCTTTATGGCTTAGATAAGAAAATATATAAAAAACCAAGTTACATATATACTGGATTAATTTTAGGAAAAAGAAAAGCACATTATGCTTTATTCCATGGTAGTGCAAAGACCAGCGGTTGACTTAGTTTTCTTGGGAAATATATCTCATCTTCTTTTGCTATCCATACGCGTAACTGACCACAACGGGAATATGGTGCCGCTTTGTATACTTCAACATCATAAGAATACTCCACGTTAGATTCTTTCCATGATAGAAGACATTCGCATCTTGTAACAAAGAATATTTCGTCATGGAATTTAATGATGTATGGTGTTGCATTGAAGTTCATAGTTTTTATCTCTAGATCATCCCAATTAGATTGACAATGATATTCAAGAATTCTACCTAGACCGAGTTGATTTTGAATTACTACACGATTTTTAACACAAGTCTCATTTAGCTTAAAAGATGTAACAATAACCAACATAAAAAGTATGACATGATTCATTTTTTTTAGATATAAGATCATTGTTGGAATATAAATACATCAATATGTAGTGTTTATATATATTTTTGTGTGAAATCTGATTTTCTTTTAAGTAATAAATAATCTTTTTATGGATTTATCTAAAATTAAATATAAATACGAATCACTGATATTTTTGGTTGAATAGTTGATCAATATAGTCAAACCAAATAAATTTTCCTTAAAGAAGATTTTTGATTAAATGGTTGACGAATATAATCAAACCAAATAATATAAAACTGGCCGGGTTGCTTTAACAAATGTCCAAACTCCTAGCCGCCGAGACTTCTAGATCTCAGATTCAATGTTTGGACCGGCGTGCGGCGGCTCTGACAGCGTCGACGTTGGTCCTGTAGTTTGTTTATGCTTTATATTTCTTCTATTTCGGATATGTTAAGGTTGTGTGAGATTGGTCGTGGTTCACTGCTTCTGGTTTGCGTTGGAGGGTACGGCTCGCGACGAGGTTTGGGCTGTCTTGGTATCGTGGTGCCGGTTATGTGAGCGACGGAGTAGAAAGCCTGCTAACACCTCATATTTGAACTGGTGGTTCTAATCTCTTTGTCGCAGTCTCGTATTCTTCAAGGTTAGATCTGGGCTTTTGGAGCTTTATCTCCTTGTTTGCAGCCTTCGCTTATCTTCAAGCTTCCATCAGTAGTTCTGTTTTGGTGATGTAGAAGAGGTGGAGCAGCGTCATGTTCTTCGACGAGGTGGTAGAGAGGAGACAAATTTGGTTTTGTCTCTTTGTCGGGTAACTCGCTCTCTTCTCTTCACCGGATTAGCTACTTGTGTTGGGTTTGGGCTTGTTTTGCTTCTGTTAGGTGGTTCATCTTTTGGTCTTCGGTTTTAGAGTTGTCTTGGCTGTTTGTTTGGATTTTGGTTTTTCGATTTTGGTGATTGCATTGATAGCAGTTTTTTCATTTCCTGTGGAGATTGCTTTGGATTATATCCGGTTCGATCCCTCACCTTTCTCGATCCATTGAGTTTGGTGTTACCCGGGTTGGTCGTTCGCTCCTTGTTTCTGCATAACAGATCTGATCGTGATCTGATCTTCTCAAGAGGCTTCTATCTAGGCGTTTCCTGTCGTGTCATGTCACCGACTACGCCGCATCCGAAGGAAAGTTATGGAACTTGAACTGGTTCTGTCTTGTCGGGTTATGAAGTCTAGGTTATTGGAAATTGTTTTGGCATACTCATCTTCATAGGAAGAATAGTTTATCGGTGGTTTGGCATCATGCTTCTCCGGTAAGTCTTTGTCAAACGATCTTCAGAAGTGTGGAAATCTTGTTTGTTAGTGCAATTGTTTAATTTCGGGATTAATCGCTTTCTTTCAATCTTAGCCTTGGGTTTTGACTCCTAGTTTAT